AATAATAATAATAATAATAATAATAATAAAATTTAGTGGAAAAGTTCTAGCTCTGCGCTGTTCAATACTGTAGCCGCTAGCCACATGGGGCTACTGAGCACTTGGCACGTGGTGAGGCCGAATTAAGATGTGCTGTCAGTGTATGATACACACTGGATTTCTCGTTAATACTTTTATATTGATTACATGTTGAAATATTTTCGACACATTGCATATCGATTATAAAAATTAATTTTCATCTCTTTTTACTTTTTTTCCAATTGTGGCTACTAGAATATTTAGAATTATGCTTATGGCTCCCGTTGTATTTCTATTGGACAGCGCTGATCTAGAATAGCTGCTGAGAGTACAATTTAAAATCTTCTGTGTCTTGGGGGATCTTGTCACGTAGTGACAGTTGTAAGGAAAGAAAAATGCGATACTGATATCAAGTTAATTGCCAAATAAAATAGATCTCTTAAAAATGTAAATCTTAAAGAATATTTTTAAATGACAATCCTAAGTCTTTGGCTTAAAGTATTTGAAACGTACAGTCTAATAAGGGTTTGCTTTTTTGCTGTCTTTTCTTATTTTTAGGGCAAATGAAAGAAATAGTTATATAATAAGTGAGATCGCTGGGTTTATAGTCTGCCCACTGCCCCTTTCCTCAAGTGATTTGACTTTTCTGTTTGCTTTGCTTTTACTTTCAGTCACCCACCCCCGCCCCGCCCCCAACTTTAGGTGAAGTCTGTGACTTTCACAGTAAAACAGTAGTGTTTTGTCTTTCTTTCCTTAAATATCTTGTGCCTTCCCTCCCCCATTCCTTCTTTCTCCCTCCCTTTCTCTTCCTTCTCCTCCTCCTCCTCCTCCTCCTCTTCTTCTTCTTCTTCTTCCCTCCTCCTCCTTCTTCTTCCTCTCTCTCTCTCTCTTTCTCTCTCTCTCTCTCCCTCTCTCTCTCTCCCTCTCCTTCCCTCCCTCTCCACCTCCTCTCTCTATCTTCTCTCTGTTTTCAGGTTTGCAGCCTCAGGACAAAAGCAAGGATGTGTACTGGTTTTAGACCGCCCACCTTCTTCCCTGTAGGTCTCTGCATAGTGCAATTGATGGCACTCAGAGCTGAAATGGAGTGGGTTTGTAACAGCTTCTGATCTTGGTTTGCAGCTCGTCGTTATTCCCTCTGTGGTGCATCCCTCCTGAGCTGATCTGCTGACCCAGGGTTTCCCCTTCCCCTTCCCTTCTGACCAGACTTGGAGGCTCAGCATCTGTGCCTCTCACTCCGTGGATGAGGACATGGGGGAAGGCAGAGACTTCAGACTTCTCAGTGTATTGGGAAAACCAAAAACCACAATTACAGAAATTCATCTAAAAATAAGTCCTGCTGCTGAAAGAGCAAATCCAAAGACTCCGAGTTATGTTTAATGACTTTTGGCCGAATCACTGGAAATATCTGTGGTGAGATTGCTGAGTCAGGTGATATGATATCATAAGCTTTCTTGGAAAGGGGGAAAGAAAATGAAACTTTTTGGTGTGAATATTTTTTATGCTGATGTGAATTATTTGGTTAGGTAGTGTGATTATAGCACTACTACTGTCAGATTTTAAATTGTATGTGTACTTGCATTTAAGACTGTGGTAGAGAAGTAAAGAGAAGTCAATTCCTTCTTCCTCACCTCTCAGCCTCCAGATCCCTTCCTGCCCATCCCTTCCCTACAATGCCCACTCCAGACGCAAAGATACATTTTTTTCCTTTGGACTGTGAACATGGAAGCCTCAGCCTGAATGTGAGTGGCAAGTGGCTTATCTGGAACCACCTGCCCAAGTCTTACTAAAATGCAGCTGTTGTTAGACAACTGTTTAAAACTCCAGAAATACATCACCCAAGGTGGCACTTCTCAGTATTTGGCAGAACAATTGCAATTGCACTGGATATATTTTTTATATATATATATATATGTATGCATATATATCATGTTTTTTACAAGGAACATTTTACGATGAAAGAAGAAACGCTTCTCTGCCTTCTCTCCCACGAATTCTGTCCCTGTATCCTCTGGATGTAAAAAGCAAGGAAAGACCCCAACTGTCTCCATGGAGAAGAACTAGGAATCACCACAAGGGGAAGAAATGTACAAGAAGTCTCCATTACCTCGAATTTTTTTCTCAGCCTCTCTGGTTGCGATTTGGTCACTTTAGTGTTGGGGCAGGGGAAAGGGTCTGTGCGTGGGCAAAGCTGAAGGTGATAAGGAAGAAGAGATGAACATTAAAGATGTCTATTTACTATGAGTTCACTGTGTTGTTTCATAAAAAGAAAATAAATAACTTAGTTTTTTTCTAGTAGAATAAAATAACACAGTAGTATGATTTGATGTCAGTAGTATTACATATGTATAGATATAGATAGATGTAGATAGACAGATCTTTACGTGTTTCCATCGTGTTTGCTGTGCTATGAATATGTTAGCTGTTCCCATCTCACATCAACCTTGGAGAATGAGAAGTTAGGTACCCCTGTCTGTTTTACAGATAAGAAAATTGTGGCCTACAGAGGCCAAGGGCTTGCCTGTTAGCATTCAGAAGTTAGAAGCAAAGATGGTACAAAAAGCACTACCTGTAGACCATTCAGTCAAGTACAGATTTATTATTTTCCAGAAAAGAATTATTGTTACATGTTTAATTCTAGACTCAAGACAGTAGAGTCATCAGTTAAAAGTGTTTTTGAAATATTGGCTATTTTATATTTTAATAAACTAGGCTAAGAAACCAAATCTCTCACTAGGCAAAGAAGATGCTTAAGAAAGAAACTGGTAGTTTTTCCCCTTGTTTCCTCTTGATGCCAAAGTTCTTTCTGTTCTTTCACAAAAGTGTCTGGTAGAGAGATTTTGTGTGCTGCTCAAATTGCCCTTGTACCTCGTTAATGCATAACAATATTAGTCCAAATCTTGATCTTCATTATAACATGAGAGGCAAATATAATTTATCTTGGATAAGTCTCAAGAATTGGAAGCAGTTAAGGGATCTAACTCACAGCATGAGCTTGGCAGAGCTCCCCATACCCTCTTTCTGTCATTTGGCTACCTGTGAAGTACACATGATCATTCCAGAAATATGGTTTGCACTCTGATGGAAGATACTCTATGATTACGTACATCACATGTGAAAGCAATAATCATAACTAATGTTAATTGTTTGTTATGCACTGGGCACTGATCTCTATAGATTAACTCATTTAAACCTCACAACAATTCTATATGGTATTTATTGTGATGTTCTCCTTCTTACCTATTAGAAAACTAAGGCACACAGAGGAGAAATAATTTGCCTAGTTATGAAGCTCATCAGTGGCAAAGTTAGGCTGAAAACCCGGGTAGCCCCCGTGCAGGGCTGCACTGTTATTCACTGCATGACTGCTTGTCTAGTTCTGATTTGTCTCTTTGCTTTTCAACGTTGGGCTTATTTTCTCCACAATAGATGTATAAAGAAAGGAAAAAAGTCAGAGAAGCACAGATTGATGATGCTTTGGTAGAACTTACAGAATCCCAATTCTCAAAAGAACTGTCATAAGACATTGTCCAAACTCCATCAAATGACACTACTTAGACCATTCAGTAAGGTACAGCTCTCTATTCTCCAGGAGGGAATTATTATTGCTTCTCTTATTCACTTCAGTGTTTAACAGCCTTCACCACTCTGAAATTCTTCACACCCAACCTGATCAAGCTGTGTAAGAGTTAGCCTGAGGTTTGGACATTGAAGCAATAACTAAAATTAACTTTGGACTTCTCTGTGGATTTTTTTAATCCATGTTCCACTGGCATGAATCCCTGGTATATACAAGTGTAAATAAAATGCATTAAGTCCCAGTGCGCTTTTCAGAATTTCCTACTAAATATACTGTTGAAGAAAGCATGGCAGTGCGTTATCTGCTGGACATCTCCATGTATTCCCCATTGGAAGAGGCTGTTTACCTGTACCCCACCTGCGTTAACACTCACAAGATCTGTGATCAGAACCCACAGGGAACATTTTCCCACCCACAAGGTTCTGATTACTGAAACTTCTCTCCTAAGCTACATCTGACCCGAATATCAGGTTGCTGGTGAGGAGACTCATTCACTGGAACTGGCCTTTGGGGCGGTCCTGAACAGACCGTCCAGACTGCTGAGCCAGTCCAGGCTCCAGCGACCTGGCACGTATGACACACGAACCACAGCATTTCTCTCCATTCCACACCTTCGTAAGGTAGAAATGCAAGATGACCTAGATCCATAATGATTCGGTTCTGTGTAATAAGAGCATCAAAGAGAACTTTGGAGAAATGGTAGCCCCAACTGACATTCTTCGGGCTTACTTCAAGTCACACAAAATGTGAACTCTCATACCTGTCTTGTTAATAGTAGTCAAACCATGCAGATTCGATAACGTTCCAGCAGTTGAAAAAAGGACATTCAAGGAAATGAGGGATGGCATAAGGAAAGGCAAACATGACTTTTTTACATATGTTATACCTGGTCAGGGGGCTCAGAGAAAGGTTACATTCTCCTCTAATCACCCCCTTCGGCACTAGTGTCCTCCTTGCCCACAGCTTTCTCTTTGCACTTGGCCTTGGTCGAAGGAGAGGTGATGAAAAGGAAAGAGACGGCTCTCCACCACCAAGTAATCCTTTTGCCGATTGCCCTCTGGCTGAGAATTTGGTCACCCAGCTACAGGGAATTCTATCTGTTCTATTCCTTCAGTGTAAAAAGAGTTGCTATCCCATCTCATTTCCCCTTTGAAGTTCTATTTAAATGCATGGCAAATTCTAGCAATATCTTAAGATTGATTTGGGTCTGGATGGGAGATGGCGGATGTTGAGACTCAGAAACCCTGCTGAGCACTTCTGTTTTCGCTCTTTCTGGGTAAGTACTGTATTTTCTGTGCCCTTCTACATCTGGAAAAAACAACTCTTCAGGTAACTTTAATTTTCATTTTGCTTAGAGTCAAAAAGCCTGCATTTCTGTGCAGGCGTGCACATATTCTGTCAAAAT